TAAGCAGAGAGGCCCAAACTCCCTCTCCCTAGCTACTTGGGCCAGCTCCTCCAGGGGAACCCAAAGGTGTTCCCTGGCCAGCCGTGAGCGTGTCCTGTGCCTTCCTTTAGGTCTCCTCCTGGTTGGACGTGCCTGGGAAACCTCACCAGAGAGGCGACATGAAGGCATCCTAACTAGATGCCCGAGCCACCTCAACTGGCTCCTCTGGATGTGAAGGAGTGGCAGATCTACTCCGAGCCCCTCCCGGACGACTGAGCTTCTCACCCTATCTCTATGGGAGAGCCCAGCCACTCTGGGGAGAAAACTCATTTAGGCCGTTTATAACCGCAATCTCGTTCTTTCGGTCACCACTCAAAGCTCGTGACCATAGGTGAGGGTTGGAACGTAGATTGATGAGTAAATCAAGAGCTTCGCCTTCTGGCTCAGCTCTCTCTTCACCACGACAGACTGGTACCATTCTTGCATCACTGCAGAAGCAGCACTAATCCGCCTGTCGATTTCGCACCCCATCCTTCCCTCACTCGTGAACAAGACCCCGAGATACTTAAACTCCTCCACTTGGGGCAGGACCTCATCCCTGACCCGGAGAAGGCATTCTACCTTTTTCTGACGGATGGTCTCAGATTTAGAGGAGCTGATTCTCTGTCTTTTGAGGCCCTTTCTAAAATCATCACTGTAAAGACTTTTGAAAATCACCAACAACCTCTAGGTAGAGTTCACCTTTTAAGAAACTCCTCCACTTGGGGCAGGACCTCGTCCCTGACCCGGAGAAGGCCTTCTACCTTTTTCTGACGGATGGTCTCAGATTTAGAGGAGCTGATTCTCTGTCTTTTGAGGCCCTTTCTAAAATCATCACTGTAAAGACTTTTGAAAATCACCAACAACCTCTAGGTAGAGTTCACCTTTTAAGAAACTCCTCCACTTGGGGCAGGACCTCGTCCCTGACCAGGAGGAGGCATTCTGCCCGTTTTCGATTCAAGACCATGGACTGGGATTTAGAGGAGCTGACTCTCATCCCAGCTGCTTCACACTCGGCTGCGAACCGCTCCAGCGAATGCCATAGATCCCATTCCACCAAAACAGATCCCTTCACCACCTCGGCTGCACCTAGAAATCCTGTCCATAAAAGCTATGAACAGAATTGGTGATAAAGGGCAGCCTTGGCAGAGTCCAACTCTCACTGGAAACTGGCTCAACTTACTGCTGGCAATGCGGACCAAGCTCTGAAACCGGTCATACAGGGACCTAACAGCCCGTATCGGGGGGCATATGGGAGTACTCCATACTCCCAAAGTACCCCCCACAGGTCCCCCCGAGGGACGAGGTCGAACGCCTTCTCCAAATCCACCAAACGCACGTCGATTGGTTGGGTGAACTCCCACGAACCTCCAGGACCCCCCTACGGTTATAGAGCTGTTAACACTGCAAAAAGCCACATTGTTCCTCCTGAATCCGAGGTTCAACTATGCGACGGAAACTCCTCTCCAGAAGCCCTGAATACACCTAAGCAGAGATTATAATCATGTAATATTTAGATATTTGATACAATTCAGATCGCCTTCAAAACTCAGTTCCACACCCAGGGCCGTATCAAGGCATTTGGGGACCAGGGCAAAATAGGCTTGGACACCCCCTCCAACACACACACGCTCAATTAATTTAAGATGGCAGCATGCTAAGCGTATTTTCTGGGAGGCCCCGGCCAGCTTTGGGGCCTTTAGTGCCTAGCGGCAATCGTATTCCAGCCCTGACGGAGGTGATCAGACCTTTTATCTCGGTCTGTCTAGATTTCTAGGCTACACAAGATCAGTAGAAGAGAAATTTCCACATAAAATGTTCCATTTCCTGTAGGTCCAGCAGAGCAAAAAGGAGGGAACCTGCAGCTGATCTAACTTTGGATAGAACATTCTCCAGACGGGCATACGCCCATCATATCTAACTATTTTTAACCACAATCCTAGCTCAATCTACCACATCGCCTTCCACTGAATGTGTCATGACCTAATTGAGCTTCAAAAGAGACAATTAGATTATGAATGAGAGTAACTTAAAGTAATGTAATGCCTTATATTTTTAAATCAGTGATTTTGTAACTAATTACTTTATGATGATGAGAGTAACAATAAATAATCCATTACAGTTGTGAAGTAACTTGCCCAACACTGTTGGCTACCTGTCCATCAAACAAACACATCCATTAATTATTCAGTTTCAAGCGTTAATCACATCTAAAAGGATGAGTTACAAAAACATTCACCCTCTCAGAGTTGTCATGACAGTCGACTTGATCTATTAAACCTAATGTTTTTTGTACCAGCCTGTAAAAAACATGTTAATTTTTGCTGTGAAGTTGGCATTTTTAACATGTGAGTCAATGGGAACTAGCTCCTTTCTGGAGCCAGCCCCTAGTGGATGAAAGGGAAACTGCGATTTTTGTCACTTCTACGTTAGCTTTCTTTTTGACAGGTGGACGTTCCCCTTGGTTCTGCCACTAGAAAAGACTACTGAGGAGTGTATAGATAAACCAACAAGTTCTGAAAATCTTCTGACATTAATTACAAGTTTTCTGGGTTAATTTTACAAAGATATGATTAAATCAGAGTTTTACCCAGGCTTTCCAGCGGATGCTTAAGTGGCGCATAATACAGGGTATCTGCAGGTTTAAAGGAGCCAAATTTAAGACTTTTTAAGACCTTTTTTAAGCAAGTGGTGCTCGCTGCAGAACCACAAAGGCGGAGCTGCACCAGAAGGTGGAGCTGCACCAGAGTCAGCCCCGCCCATTCCAGAATCAGCCCCACCCATTCTATCAGAGTCAGTCCAATTCCTTCCAGTTGTCAGACTTGATAGCATTCTGGAACCAAAGAGGGTGTTATAGCTAAAAAATGCAAGATTGAGGACGGAGTTGAGAAGTTAACTGAACAGTTTTTGTAAAGGTTCCATATAATTAAAAATCTAACTTTTGGAACTTTTACTCATGTTATATTGTCATTTCCTCATAAGAAACACGCCAAAGCCATTTTTGGCCTCATTCATGCATTGTCCTCCCATCTCAGCTTCAATTTGGTCTCCTCCCCCGAAGCGGGTCTGGTCTTGGTTCTCAAATCTGGATATTTTGTGAATTTTCTGACAAATTATTTCTGAAATGACTTCTACTGAGACACCGCCAATAAACCATACATCTATCTACAAAGACACACTGGATAGCACAATTACATATAACGCCACTTGCTTTTTCTCAGATGTGGTGGTGTAGTGGTTATGGAGTTAGGTTGGCACGCAAGATTGCACGGGTTCGCCTCCCGGTAGTGGAAATATAATGTTGTTTAAAATCCTTTTTCTTCACTTCTAGCTACACTTGCCAGTACTATGTTTACAACAATTTACTGGTATACCGTTTAACATATAATGACTAATGTGTTTATTTATTTATTTGTTTATTTAGCCAGTGTGAGTCCATTTGTGAGCAGAGTTTCAACTAAAATGCTGTTTAGGAACGACCAAATCCAAAAAACTTTTAGAGACATAAATATTTTGCTGAAAATAAACATTACAACTAAAATATAAACAAATTAAATGTTTCAGCTGGCTAAATGGATTGTTGCCGACCTCACCGAGAATCGAACCAGCATCAGCTGAGGGGAAAGCAAAACTTCATTTAGACGATCTCGCCACTGGACTACCAGAACACATACATTAATCAAATATGCTGTTGTACACCAGTTTTCTTGAAGCGGCTGTGGGTAGATATTCGTCAGAAGAAACCTTTTCATTTTGAGATATATTCAGGCTTTGTCATGTAGCAAGTTATATTTATCTTGTTTAATTGGAGCATAGAACATAGCATTAACGACTGTAAACTAGTAACAGCCGTAATTCATGAGGGTCAGGTTAGTTTGCGATAAAGTTGAAAAAACAAAAACGGAAGTCAGTGGGCTAGGCTGAGTTTGCGTGAATGGGCGGGGCTGACTCTGGTGCAGCTCCGCCTTTGTGGTTCTGCAGCGAGCACCCTCTCTTTTTAAGGCCACTTTGCCCAAATGTAAGCGATTTTTTAATTAAATTCTTGCTATAATTTCCAGCTATTGCCTGGAACTGGTGATAACCACATCGCGAACGTGGGATTAGCCATCCAGTTACCATTAAACTTGCACTTTCCCACTAGCTAAACTCCCACTAGCTTAACCAGCTAATGTGCTCATCTAAAAATAGCCCCCTTTCACAACCAACTGAATGTGTACGGTTCCGCTTACGGCAACATCACACACAAAAAACGCTGAACACTAGAAATTCACGAAAATTTTATAGAAATAAAAGAATCTTGTTTATTGGGTCTTTGGTAATTTAAGACCTTTGGAAACTGTATTTAAGGATTATTTGTCATTTTTAAGGATTTTTAAGGCCTTAAATTGGGAGAAGCTAATTTAAGACTTTCTTAGGGACCCGCGGATACCCTGTAATAAGATGTGTTTTCCCCGCATCCTCAGTGGCGCCTGTGGGTGTGTTCCACACTAGTTCACGCAGTTCCAAATGTTTCAAACCAACAATTTTCAGCTCTCATCCAAAATTTTATCTAAGAAAAGCAAAGCTGAGGAACATTGATTATAATACTAGTTTTTAACTTGATTACTTGAAGACAGAGCTTGCTTTGCACCCGTTAGAATAAATACGTAAATCAACTTCACTCTTTTAATGAAAGGCTGAGCTGCAGAAATAAGAACTGACTCTATGTCTGGTTTCACAGCAGGTGAAAAGACGATTCCTGATGGATGATTTTTCTTATTAAGGGAGACAGAAGCCATCAAAAAGCTTCATTTTGCCAGGTTAGAATAAAAACACTGCTAAAGCTTAAATCATCTGCAATAACCTCATGGCTGTGTGTGTGAAAAGTTGTATCCGAGTCTGTTACAAGTCTAGAAACAACGCAGCATAATAATGAGACTACCTGTCAGACAAGGTGCCTGGCTTTCAGTCAGGAGACGGAGCACACTGAATTTTTCACCTACCCTTCTCGTAGTCAGGGATGCTGTCTTTGAGCAGGCAGCTGAGCTGGTGGCCATTGAGATGCAGGAAGCGCAGCTGGTCTCGCAGTGAGCTTTCCTCAAACACGCCCGGGATGACACGACCAACGCTGTTCTGAGAAATGGGGAGGCCGAGTCCCAGGGCCAGCGTCGGAGTCAGGTCAACCTGCTCCACCACCTCAGGCTTTTTCATTCCCCCTGGAGTGAGAGAGAACAAACACACCCGTTAAACTCCCTTTGCCTCAGACAGAAGCCGATGCAATGATGACCAATTAGAAGCAAGTCTCTAGGTTTATGTTAAAGAGCAGCACATCCTTTCCTCAAAAAGCTTCAGCGCAATGACACAGAAATGGAAAAGCTTTTCAAAACCAGTTAAAAGTTTTATTTGGTTACATGAATAAAATCTCCCTCCCACCTGTGAACAACAGGGATCGAGAATGCGCGCTGAGGCTGCGGCGCTCTCTGGGGAAAGAAGGTTCCCAGCCCCCTCTCAATCCTGCCTCTCAGAGACTCGTGTCTGGGAACCGTCTGGAGTTTAGTGGTTATGTGTGGATGGTTTTTTTGCACAGCAAAGCTTGGAGTAACTCTGGAATGCCCTTTTCTCCCTCCCCCTGTACTTCCCTCATGTTACCCCTTTACACTTCTGCATACCGGAGCGCCAGTTTAGCCTGATTCTATGTTGCGTCTTGTTTTTGTTATTGTGTGTCAAATCTCGGATGCTGTGCTAAGTCCTGAAAGGGCTGCATTTGAATGGAGACACAGCAGCCGAGAGGCCCGGGACATCGGATCTCCTACAAAGGAAACATGTTAGTGCCAAAGTTCTACAAGCTTGTATAGCGCCTTCTTAGGGTTCTACAACCCCCCAAGGCACTTCACATCACAATCAGTCCTCCACCCATTCACTCACACATTCACACGCTGGTGGGGATGAGCTACGATGTAGCCACAGCCACCCTGGGGTGCACCGAGACAGCGCCACCAGCAGGCAAGGCGGGTTAAGTGTCTTGCCCAAGGACACAACAGCATCATTCTTTGGTCAGAGCCGGGATCGAACCTGCAGCCTTCTGATTACTGGACAACCCGCTCTAGCTCCTGAGCTACTGCTGTCCCACAAAGAAGTGGACTCATTTTTCCCCCACTGCGTTTTGGTGTGTGCCTCATCTTGTAAACGGAATAATGATCAGGTGGAACATCTTGTGCACTTGGGGTAGCTCCAAATGCTTCAAACCATTTGGAATAAACGTAATATTGCTGTGAACACAGGATGTTCAGCATGTACGTTAGCCTTCCTCCTGACCTCTCAGCACCATGAAGCTGCACAGAGTCAGGAAAAGAGAAGCAAGCTTCTTCCAAGTGTATGCATGAAAATGTCAGCGTATACCATGCAGTAATAATTTAGAAATCTACCTAAATTTGACTGAATGCAGATTGCAAATCCTTCCTCTCATTATTTTCAGGTCAACACCCAAGAGACGGGCTGTCAGAGACTTATGGCACAACAAAAAACTAAAGGTGATTACTTTGGAGTGAAAGTTTTCAAACCTGACAAGCATTTTGATCACTACTGCTCACTTCCTGAAAAGAGCTTCCAAGAACACAAACAGTTGAAAGATTTTTGTTTTTGTTCCTGTCCCCAGATTTCGTGAGTGAAATTTTCTGGTTGCAGTAATGCAATTAAATCTGTGCAGAACATCTCTAGCATGTGTCAAAATGCCAGACAGCCACAGATGGAAAAGTGCCACAAGCCACTAAGTTCATTTAAGCTACTGAAAAACAACAGAATTATTCAATAAAAAAGCGTATTTTTATTGAGACAAGGAAGACCGGAACTCTCACGAAGGCTTTTGAGACGGATACAAATGTGTATGATCACAACGCTTCCTGCTTCAGTTTTAATGGGAGCAGCTTGAATAAACTCAAGGATGTTCTGAACAGTGTTCTGGTGAACTGCTGAGTCCTAAAAGCCCAGTTCAACAGCACTTGTGTGAAATGCTTAAGAGCATCTAGATAAACCAGAAACCTCCAGGACTATCCCCTAGAGCGGATCAAGCTGTGGAGTCAGGGCTCCACAATGCAGAACTTGATCAGGGCAAGAAACATTAGGTTTGAGTGTCCATGCAGTGAGAAGAAGATGCACCCGGGTATAGAGGGGCAGCAAAGAAGCCGCTTCCCTCCAAATAAACAGTTAGGGACAGACTGAGGTTGCTTTAAATCAAAGGGAATGGACTCACTCACACTTTAGCCTCAGAACAGCCATGAATAAAGAAAAGTACCTAAGCATTCTCCCAGAGGAACTCCTTCAACGCTCCAGCAACAGTTTGGTGATGAACCGTGTCTTCTCCAGCATGATGGAGCAACAGGTCAAAAGGAGAACGTCAGAACTAAGTTGATCAGGGAACAAACATAACACTTTGGGTCCAGCTTCAAGAAACTCCAAGGACTAGCAGATGGCTGACTTTATGTCAGGGTGAACTACAGCGGTCTAGAAAAAGGTAGAATGCTGCAGATCTTGAGTCTTGACGTAGGTGTCAGTAAAAGCCTATGAAATCTATATCCATCCATCTTCAGACGCTTATCCAGGCTCAGGTCACGGGGGCAACGATCTAAGCAGGAAGACCAAAACTTCCCTCTCCCCAGTCACTTGGGCCAGTTCCTCCGGGGGAATCCTAACGTGTTCCCTAACCAGCTGAGAAATATAAGGTAGTTTTCCAGGTGCACTACTCAGTAACTCGGACTGGTGCACCTCAGCCCGACCACTGTTTCCAAGGGAATGGTTCGGTATTCTCCCTCTACTTTCTCCCCAATTTTTAGTCCCTGCTCCACTGAGGTACCTGGCAAGGTTGAGTCGGGCCGGCATCGTGATTCTGGCCGCTAATTGGCTAGGGGGCGGAGTCACTGGTTGCTCCCATGTTTTCTGCCTTCTGTTTCACTGCCTGCAGCCATTTTCTGGTACAGAGTCTAACAATAAGCCATAAAACTGAGCAAAATGTCCAGCAACACCATCATTTTTGTGCTGGGTTGTGTTTCTGTGGAGCATACAGGTTACCTTACACTGTTTACTGATCACCTCATTTTTGTCATGAGTAAAAATCGAGCTTCTAACCATATCTCGAAAGGAGAGCCCAAACACCCAGCGGAGAAAACTCATTTCAGCCGATTGTATCTGCGATCTTGTTCTTTTAGTCATGCTCATGACCGTAGGTGAGGGTAGGAACATAGATCGACCGGTAAATCAAGAGCTTTGCCTTCTGGCTCAGCTCTCTCTTCACCACGGCAGACCAGTACAACGCCCGCATCACTGCAGATGCAGCACCAATCCGCCTATTGATCTTGCGCTTCGTCTTTCCCTCACTCGTGAACAAGACCCAGAGATACCCAACTCTTCCACTTGGGGCAGGACATCGTCTCTGACCTGAAGAAGGCATTCTACCCTTTGTTGACTGATGACCATGGTCTCAAATTTAGAGGAGTTGATTCTCATTCCAGATGCTTCATGCTCGGCTCCAGCGAAAGCTGGAGATCACGTTATGATGAAGCCAACAGGACCACATCATCTGCAAAAAGCAGAGACCTGATCCTCAGATCACCAAAACAGATCCCCTCAACACCTTGGCTGCACCTAGAAATCCTGTCCATAAAAGTTATGAACAGATTCATGACAAAAGGCAGCCTTGACGGAGTCCAACTCTCACTGGGAACAAGCTCTACTTACTGCCAGCAATGCGGCGCTCTGACACCGGTCATACAGGGACCTAACGTATCAGAAGACCTAGTACCGCATACTCCCCAAGTACCCCTCACAGGGTCCCCCCGAGGGACAGAGCCAAAGGCCTTCTCCAAATCCACAAAACACAGGTAGATTGGTTGCGCCTTTGAAATCTATAGACCCATTGAAAGTAATTGTTTACATCCGGGTAACTGTGCACGTCCACACTAGCTGGAGGGCAAGAACCCCGTCTCCAGCCATTATCCATAGCTGTATCACCATGATTTAAGCTAACAAAATAAAACCTAAGGATGTAGATCTTACTACTTCAGATCACCTAACACACCTTTGTGTAGTTGAACAGAAAAAGAAACATCTCAAAGCTAACGGTGATTAGCATAAAGCTTCCAGATGCGTTTAAGCTAGCGAGCTGTGGGGACGACAGTCTTCCTCAGAACCGGCCATCTGGACTTCTCACAGCTGAACCGAAGGAGTAACCTGATGTCGTCTACATTTTGCGGGTAATGCTGATGTATCACAGTGACACCGCTCGTCTTTGGAGAAAATAACGGATGCTTTGTTTGTTCTGATGAGCAACGTAAACAGAAACACGAATGACGTAAGTGGCTGCCTGCCTGAATTACACATTTTGTGTAAATATTGTAACAAGCGTGGTTGCACATAATTTATTTCTGAAAGCATGTAAGTCATTAGATGGCTGTAACTTGTTTGTTTCTGGACACGTGGGGCCAATATTTTACATTCTTGTTCGGTCACGAGACTTTATCTGTCACTATGTTGGTGGTTTATTCACTGGAATTGGCCATTAACCACTACCTTCAGCGTATTTCATCAGCTGGAAATGTGCAAAATTTTACATTTTCTTTACATCTTTCATCTTCTTGTGCAGCCTACAGCTCAATGTGTGTGAACCATGCTAATTCGCCGATTTTAGGCTTTGTTTATTGACAACTAACAACTAAAAACAACTGTGGTCAACAGAGAGGTTCCAGCTTCTTGCCTTCCAGCCTGGGGCTAGAGGGCAGAGGTGTGGGCACGTGATGTCAATCCATCAATCAATCTTTATTTATGAAGCGCCTTCCACTGCATTTGCAGGAGCCCAAGGCGCTGAACATAGAATACACTAAAAATATAGAGCAATAAAAAGGAGATAAAAGCAACATGCAAAATGTAAAAGAAGCATTAAAGCATAAAATCAAGTCACATAAAAGCCAAACGGCACACTTTCAAACTTTCTCCTGTGTGTCTATGGGCTTTAACCAGCTGGTGAAGGCTAAACAGGAAATGACCTAATAAGACAGATTTAAGGTCTGGAAGACAATCCTTAACAAGGGACGCACCGATACCGATGCTGGTATCGGTAAAAGTTAACAGATACCAGTAACCGATACCAGTGCAGTTGCTTGAAAGTGACTTCACTGTCACTTGTCATTTCTGTTCACCTAATATTTTAGTTTTGTGATCATTTATATTAACATATTTTACTTTTTATCTACCTCCCAGTCTTTTCCTGTTGAAAGCAGAGAAGAGAATTAAACCTGTATTCCAATTCATTGCATTTTTTGGTGTGGTAGAAGTATCAATATCGGTAATCGGTATCGGCGAGTACTCAGATCCAAGTATCGGTATGGTATCGGTTTGGAAAAAAGTGGTATCGTTGCATCCCTATCCTTAACATGGAGATGTTTCTTGTTTAAACATTTTTGCCATATTGCTTGAAATTCTCTTCACATACATGTAGCAACCAACAAATAAAATATTTCGTTGGAAAAAAAGAAGACTTTTACTCTGCTCTGACACGCACAGTCCTGGAAAAACCTCATCCAATCCAGCGCTGGCCCCCTCGCTCCATTTTTGGCTCATATGGGCCGAAGGACACGTCACCCTTGGGCTGTGGGACCAGGGACTGAACTGCTCACCTTCCATCCAAAGCCCAAACTCTCTCCCTGTGCAGCCATGCCTGCCCAGTCAGGTGTTTTAAAGCAGAGAAACCTCGAAAACATTTGGGACAAGAGAACAAGAGTTGGAGATCCTTGACAGAAATCCATGATATCAACAGCTAAAAGGGAACCAATAGGAATTTCCACATGCAAACAATCAAATTGTAAAAGTCCAAGCTTATCCAGCACAGAAAACATTGAAAGACTAGAACAGAGTCAAATGGACAATTTCTGTGAGGAAAGCATGAAAATGACTGAAATAAATATGAACATGTCTGGGGGGAAAAAGTGCCCTTGCCTCTTCCGGTAGTCCCATTCCTGCCAACTAAATGTTCTGCTTGTCTGAGTGATGCAAAGAAATTAAAAAGTGACGCTTAGGTAGTTGCATCCAGTGCAGCATGTACTAATGGAAACAACAGGCAGATGAGCTCTCCTCGAACGCCCTCTCGTTCCCCAAAAACACACAGTTACACTAATGAGACCACTGATTGCATTAACTAACAAATTCAGTAGAGCTCATTTCCACATCAACATGTTTACATTGAAGGTGGTGCTAACAGAAAGTCTCCACCTTACAGAATTAAGGGGACTTCAGTGAGGTTCATTAGGTGATTAGACTTAAGTCAAACTTTCTCACAAAAATAACCGAGTATGAACAGCTGAAGCAGACTGTCATAAGCCGTGATGCCTTAAAGCTCCTTTCACTTTGGGCTAGACCGTTGGCTTGTTTTTACAGTTGATGTTCTTTCATTTGCGTGTTCTCTGTAAAGTCAAGCCCTATTTAACAATTAAAGACTTTGAAAAGGTTATGCACTTGCTAATCATGTCGAGACTTGACTACTGCAACTCTCTGTACTGTATTATGGACTGGAGCAGTCGTCACTTCACCACTTGCAGGTGGCTCAGAATGTGGCAGCTCACATGCTGACAGGTAGGAGGTGCAGGGATCACATAACACCAGTCTTACAAGCTCTTCACTGGCTCCCGATCACTTACAGGACTCAATTTAAAATGCCACTGCACTGTTTTAAGGCACAACACAATTTGGCCCCTCCTTATCTGTCAGAACTCATAAACACTCATGTCCCCAAAAGAAACCTCCATTCACCCTCTCTACATCTTTTATCTGTTCCCCGGTCTAGGCTGAAGTCCAGAGGGGACAGAGCCTTTTCTGTGGCCTCTCCCAAGCTCTGGAACAGCCTTCCCCTCCAAATTAGGTCTGCCAACAGCCTTTCTGCTTTTAAGTCTCTTTTAGAAACCTACCTTTTTACCCTTGCTTTTAACTGATTTCATCGTTAATTTATTTTATCTAGGCTCTACTGGATTATTCTTAGTGTTTTATTATTTAATTTTTACTGCTTGTACAGCACTTTGTGCAGTCTCTGATTGTTGGAAATGTGCTATATAAATAAACTTGACATTGACATTGATGGGGACAACTATTATTCATTTAACATATTTAGTATTCATCTGTTTGACATTTCATTACAATATTCACTGCAGTGTATTGACAGGTGTGGAAAAGTGGATCTTTAATAAATGGACCGATCGACCGACGGAACAACGGATGGACGGACAGTCAAACTGTGCGTTGGAGTAATGTGAATGTTATTGGTTATTGTGACAGGTCAGGACAAACTGACAATTAGGGATGCACCGATGGATCGGCATTTGATCCCAATCGGCCGATAGCGCCCCTAACGGTTTTGATCGGAGATTTCAAAATAGATCAAAGCAGGTTGTCACGGTAACCGGTGTAGCGGTAAACCCTGGTAAAAAAAAGTTGACAATAATAATAACCGTCTTGTTTTTAAAAAAACTACATTATCTCGGTGGATTACCGTGGCTGCGGTGTAGGCGCGGTGACCCTTACCAGCCACCGTATCATCTGCTGAAGTTGCCGGCGGCACATGCACACTTTGTTGTTTACAACCAAAACTTTCTTGAAGCTAAAGCTGAAATAATGGCCAAAGGAGGAGACGGCAGCGCTCAGGACATTTTTTATCCCTCAAAGAAGACAAAGTGGGAAGTACGGGCATCTTTTGGATATCTGAAGAATGCCGAGGGACAGCTGATAGAAGACGGCTATCCTGTTTGCAGCACGTGCAGAAAAAGTGTCTGTGAAAGGCAGCAACGCTTCAAATCTCATGACACATCTGCGTGACCATCACCCACAACTCTACAGTCAACGCAAGGCAAGCTAACGTTAGCGTTTTAGCTAAAATGCGTGATCCAAGGATTTGGGTTGAGGGAGAATGCAACTAGTCGCTATATAAAGCAGCCGCAGCGCCGCTACCTGCATATAAACCGTGTCGCGGACACCCCCATGTTGAAATGACGCTATGCATTACGGGGCTCCCAGGGGCAGATAAGAGTTGGTCTCTCTCCGAGAATAATTATGAATTTAACAATGATTACTGCCTGATGACATTTTCCCACATCTGCAAAGCTCACTGGAAGGACACAAACCGAGGACGATATTTTCCTGATATAGGGTTTATTACTCAAGTAAGGGTAAAAAAGTATCTGATTAGAAGTCTACTTGAGAACTGAGTATCATCTGGTCTAATATTTTTAAAATGATGACATCAAACAGACATAAAATAAGAAGTTATGGGCAAATATTGGTATTTTAAAGGCTAAAGGGAAAAAATGTAAACAAATAAACACCATAATTACAAAATAACACATTTTAGGCAACATTTAGACACAAACTGAGGATAATATTTCCTGACATACAGGGTTTGTGTGAAAATGTAGCACGTTTTAAAAAAAATACCGCGATAAAACCATAAACTGTGGTAATTTTGGTCACAATAACCGTGAGGTTAAATTTTCACACCGTGACAACCTTAATACAGACCATTTTAGATTAGGTTACATTTCCTTTATTCCCAGATTATGTAGTTTGTAGCACTCATTATAATGTTGTAGAACATTTCTGGCCAATCCACGTGATCGGTATCGGTGATCGGTATCGGTGATCGGCAGCAAAACACCTGATCGGTGCATCCCTACTGACAATCTGCTGAAGTTAACTTTCAGACAGACAGAGAACAGAGCATGTCACCAGTCCCTCCGACCTCCACCAGCAGGAGAGGCAGGGGAGGTGTCTTGCCCAAGAACACAAATTCCACGAACAGAGCCTGGGTTCGAACCGGCAACCCACTGATTATAGAATAAACTCCTAACTAGGGTTGGACCCAAATATTAGGCCGATACTTACTATTTTCTAAATATCGGCATCGGCCAATGTGTTTCCATAGTAAAGCCAAATCAAAGTCAGATTTGCCCGGTGCTGCTGCAGAATTTCATTTAAATGTGTGTTTACGTTTACATTCAGTTAATGCTCTAAAAATTATTTTCAACACACATTTCTTTTTATTTACCAGTTTTGAATATTGAATTCGTGGCCAGTTGATTGGCTTGTTGAAATAACTATTCAGACGTCTGATTTTAACACGGAGCAGAACTTAGAAAAACTGGTTCAGCTTCACAAATGTTGAGCATAAAATGTTATTGGAGACGTTTTATTATGAAAATACGCAGGAAAACATCTAGATATCAACCATGAAGATCGGCAGCACATATCGGACATCAGCTGACTGTGACCTCTAGATAACAGCATCAGCAATAGAAAAACCCGTATCGGTTCACCGCTACTCCTAAGCCCAGAGCCACTGTTGCCACCATCTCCATCACATTCACTCTTTCTATTTGTTCGGTCAAGTCGCTTAATAGAAAACATGATTTTGCATCCCTGTGTTTCTTTACCCTGCTGTGATTGATAAAATCTTAATGAAAAAAGGTAAGTGTTGGGCTATTTGTTGCAACTGCAGGAGGCAGTGTGCTGTGAAACCACCCAATCTGCTTCAAGTGATTCCATGCTGTAAACCGGGTAGAAATAAAAAACATGCAGGGAGAACATCAAAAATAGACTAAAGAAGTAATTATCACAATCACACCTCAGGCTCGGTCTCATCCATCACAGCGAAGCACACTTCTCCCAGCGACTTTTATTTGCACAAATGACTGTTTCCATACCTGAGAGCAGCGCAGGGCAAATAGAGGACAAAACTTATATCTCAATATGTTTTAGCTGAATTCCATTATACGATATATAGCTTCACATTTTTCCTTTTTTTCATTTACAAGTTTATTTAATTTGTTTTATTTAAACATTTAAAGAAAAATCAAGTTAACTCCCATCATGCGTAGAAATAGTTAAGAGCTGGTCTTATTTTCTGCTCTTCAATAGTTTTTTTAATGAAACATTTAGACATGGAAGCCAGAAAAAAGGCACAAAAAAAAGATAAGATCCCTCAAACAGGTGTGTTGTCAGTTTACCTTTCCTTCTGAAGGCTGGACTTATAAGAACTAGAGGTGTGCTGATTTCTGGCTCAGAGGAGCCTCCATGGCTGCCGGTTTCAGACATGCCGTGATCTCCGCACAGCACCAGCAGGTAGGGCAAGGATCCTTCTGCCTCCTGAGAAAACAAACAACAAGGTTAATGGCCCCCTGGCAACATGGGCGACTCAGAACAACTCTCACGTGAGCTGAAAACAAAGATGGTTCACCATCGTGGTTTAGGGGAAGGAAACAGGAAGCTGTCTCAGAGATTTCAGCTGTCTGTTTCCACAGTTAGGAACATGTTGAGGAAGTGGAAGACACAGTTCAAGTTAAGGCTCCAAGTGGCAGAACAAGAAACATCTCTGGTAAACAGAGGTGAAGAATGGTAGAACAATCAGAGTCACCCACAGACCATCACCAAAGGCCTACAACATCATGTTGCTGCAGACGGAGTCACTGTGCATCGTTCAGCTATACAGCGCACTTTACACAAGGAGATGCTGCATGTGGGAGTGATGCAGAGGAAGCCTTTTCTCCACCCACAGCACAAACAGCTGCTTGAGGTTTGCTGAAGCACATCTGGACAAGCCAGCTTCATTCTGGAATTCGGTGCTGTGGACTGATGAAACTTAAACTGAGTTATTTGGGCAGAACAAGGAGCGTTATGCATGGAGGCAAAATAACAGCATTCCAAGAAAAACACCTGCTACCTACAGTAAAGCATGGTGGTGGTTCCATCATGCTGTGGGCTGTGTGGCCAGTGCAGGGACTGGGAATCTGGTTAAAGCTGAGGGACGCATGGATTCCACTCAATATCAGCAGATTCTGGAGACCATTGTCCAGGAATCAGTGGCAAAGCTGAAGCTGCACCGGGGCTGGATCTCACAAGACAACCACCCTAAACACTGATAAACATCTACAGAGGCCTTCATGCAGAGGAACAAGTAGAACGTTCTGGAACGGCCGTCTCAGTCACCAGACCTGAGTATTATTGAAAATCTGTGGTGTGAGTTAGAGAGAGCTGTCCATGCTCAGAAGCATCAAACCTGAATGAACTAGAGATGTTTTGTAAAGAAGAATGGTCCAACGTACCTTCAACCAGAATCCAGACTCTCACTGGAAACTGTAGGAGGCATTTAGAGTTATTTCTGCAAAAGGAGGATCTACTAAATATTGAGCTCATTTATTTTTGTGGTGCCCACATTTATGCACCTAATTTTGTTCAATTATTGCACCCTTTCTGTAAATCCTATAAACTTCGTTTCACTTCTCAAACATCACTGTGTGTGTGTGTGTGCGTGTGCGTGTGCGTGTGTGTGTGTGTGTGTGTGTGTGTGTGTGTGTGTGTGTGTGTGTGTGTGTGTGTCTTATATATTTAACTGAAAATTTTTACCATAACAACCAACAATCAATAAAGGAAAATCCTGAGGATCAACAAGGCTGCCCAAACTTTCACATCCCACCGTATTTCCTGTTATCTAATAGATCAGAAAACAGGAAATGTATCTAAAGGCAAGACATCTTCTGTCATGGACTGCTTCACCTGAGGATTTTATGTCATAGTGATGGTGAGGTCTACAGCAGCGCAATGGGACGTGCATCAAATAATTATTTCTAAAAAGGAAGTCACAATAAACATTCCACAGCACCGTTTCAATCTGCAGGCTTAGGAGGGAGAAAAAAACAGTAATAGCAACAAACAGAGTGGTTTGTTGGAGATGACAGACTTAGATCAGGTTGTGCTTCTTCTTTCACAGATTCCCTTTCAACTAAAGTCACAAGAGTCCTCAGCTGACTTCAACAGGAACGCGTTACGAGTCACAGAACAGAGGGCTGATTTAAAAAACAAAACAGCGTTACAGATGTTAAAACAAAAGCCAAGTCCTTCAGCACATTACAAAAGTCTCAGAAGGCTCTTCAGCTCCAGTGTTGCATCACACAAACAAGAATCGAAGGCCAGGCACTTCACTTATTATTCAAGATGAACAAGTTGACTTAACGAAGAAGCAAAAAAATAAATAAATAAATAAAAAGCTTTTAAGCGTTATATAACCATAATGAATGCACCAAACAAAGACTGCAGGTGTGAGACTGAGCTAAACGGTTCTCAGGTGACCCCTTACGGTTCGTACTCAGCATAAAAACGAACAAAGGATGATCCTCTGTGCTGTTTCTTCTAGTTGATGTTTGTTATAAATAGCACTGGAGTTAGAAAACACCTAAAGACCTGAGCTCCACCCTGAAACAACTGACACACACTTTCTATTCATAAAGACTCTTCCCTGTAGGATTCAAGTTTGAAGCCTCCCAGAAAGACTCCCCTCTCAACTTGTAAGAAGTCTTTATAGAAACAGATAGTGTAAACTTGTATACGTCTGAATTAAAAGAAAGCAACAATTTGCATTTTACAGTGAGTTACTTCAACCAAACCAATCATCAGCAACATCAGCAGCAGCAGCAGCTAGGGAACTGTTATCAAGCTCAACCTATCTAAAAGATATACTGAAGGGTGCCGATGCAGACACTTTCCCAAAAACATGTATCTTTATAAATCCCAGGAGCGGGAGCAAACCAGTGTCTGTTAGCAGTGTTTGGGCAGTTTTCATTCTGAATTTGCAGGTAAATTTTCTCTGTTTGGGTCGACATAATTTGGGCAGGTTTGGAGTCAGTTTGGCGGTTTTAAGCAACCTTATTGAAGCACATCTGAACTAGTCAGTCATAATTATTAGGTAACAGCAACATTACCTGACCTGTCTCTATCACCGATTGTTAATTTTCACCTGCCGGTTCGTTAACAACAGAAAGCCGCTGCCCCTATAATAGAAACTAGATGGTTTTTTTTTCTAAAACCCTTTTTAAGGAGTTCAAACATTACAAACCTGATTTGATTTTGTTGTGGTGACTGGCTGTTGTTGGGATGTTGCTTATTGAAATGTGCTGTTAGATTGCTTGGTGCATAGTCAAGAGTTCAAATTATGGGGGAGCTAAGGGGAGCCCAGCTCACTAGAAAGTTGACAGGCTCCCCTGGAAGCCCTCAACTTACACACCCAGAGGGAGCCCGAAAAAAGTTCCAGTTTCTACCTATATTACATTATTTATATGGACTCTCATTGTACTGTGATTTCTTATGAGTGGAGAAGATGGAGAGCAGGAGAACGCTAATTGTTGATGCGCTGCGCACGATCACCATAACATTCTGAAAGTGGCACCACCAAAAGAATACAATTAACATGGATCGTTCATGTCCGCTCATATTCTCTGGTACTTTCTGTCTTTAATTTGTGCCTGACGCACTCTGCTGCAGCTAAGCTCATCGTCCATGCTCCAGTGACCTTCACCTCACTGGCGCGGCTGCTCAGCGCACACTCCGCTGTTTTTACGGTCAGTAGATCCCTTGGATCTGCTTAGTTCAAAAGTAACTTGTGAGGTGAAAAAGGAGGAAGCCAGGCAGCATTTTTTCTGGAGCACTGAGAGGAGATGCAAGAAGATGAGAGACAGACAGGACAGGAAAATAGTCAAATAAAAAACAAGAGAACAAAACAAAGTGCTTGAAAACGGATGTAGATAGATTTATCTCACTACACGTTTTATGTTTACCTTTACAAAGCAATCATTTATAAGAATATAATATTTATGTATTTAGCAGACACTTTTGTCCAAAGTGACTTACAAGTGATAAAGAAGCCAGCAGGTTGCCCGTGAGGCTAACAATAAACACTAATCAGTCAATCCTAGGTGGCAGTGGGGCAGCATAATGAATCATAAAGGGAGGTGAACAAGTAGAGAGGGGGACGGGTGTTGGGAGAGTGCTAGTTCAGAAGATGCTCTCTGAAAAGCAAGGTCTTCGGGAGTTTCTAGAAAATTCACAAGGACACCCCTGTTCTGGTAGTGCTTGGTAGATCATTCCACATCAGTGGAACGACACATGAAAAGAGCCTGGATTGTCCTGAGCGTGGTGTAGGCACTGCTAGCCGATGATCCTTTGATGACCGGACCGGCCGAGAGGATTCAGGTAGATGAGAGCCATACCATCCAGGACTTTGTATGCTACTGATGGTGATTTGAATTTGATGCATGCAGCTAGCAGTAGCCAATGGAGCTTAGTGGACAGAGGGGTGACGTGTGCTCTTTTAGGCTGACGGAAGACCAGACGCGCCGCTGCGTTCTGGACCATTTGAAGAGGTCTCACAGTACAGGCTGGAAGATGAGTTAGAAGGGCTTTGCAGTAGTCGAGACAGGTGATGACAGTAGACTAGAAGCTGGGTGGCATATTGTATTTATGCGTTTGATACAATTCAGATCACCTTCAAAACCTAGTCCCACATCCAGGGCTGTTTCAAGGCATTTTGCCCCTCACTGGGTTCCCCAAGAAGCCTTTGTGTAATTCATAGCCTGTGCATAGTACTAGCACCAGAGCTTAGTCCGCATTGCCGGCAGTAAGTCGGGCTCGCTCATGGTGAGAGTAAGGCTCCGCCAAGGCTGCCCTTTGTCTCCAATTCCGTTCATAACTTTATGTACAGGACTTCTAGGCGCAGCCTAAGTGTTGAGGCGATCTGTTTTGATGGCCTAAGGATGATGTGGTCCTGTTGGCTTCATCGAACTGGAGCAGTTCACCTCCGAGTGTGAAGTAGCTTTGATGAAAATCAGCTCCTCTTAATCCGAGACCATGGTCTTGAGTCAGAAAAGGGTAGAATGCCTTCTCCAGGTCACGGACGAGGTCCTGCCCCATGTGGAAGAGTATCTTGGGGTCTTGTTCACGAGTGAGGGAAAGATGGAGCGTGAGATCGACAGGCAGATTGGTGTCTGCAGTGATGCGGCGTTGTACTTATCTGTTGTGGTGAAGAGAGAGCTTAGTGATATGATGAGAGGCTCGGTCATTCAGGAGGGGCTCTGAGTAGATCTGCTGCTCCTCCACATGGAGAGGAGCCAGTTTAGGTGGCTCTGGCATCTGGTCAGGATACCTCTTGAACGTCTCCTTGGTGAGGTTCTCTGGGCACGTCCAAACAGGAGCAGACCTAAAGGAAGACCCAGGACTATGTAGGGACTATGTTTCTCAGATGTTCAGGAAACACCTTGAGATTTTCCCTGGAAGAGTTGACCCAAGTGGCTGGGGAGAGGGAAGAATGGGCCTCTAAG